TGTCTTTTCAGTAGTTCACTTGCTGCGTCCCCCGTTTTTATGGTCTACCAAAAATCCATAAGAATGGCCTGCCATTTCGTCCGATTATGGACATGCGTACCTCACCGTATCATGCGGTAGCGAAGTGGTTAGCAGAGAAACTCAAACCTATAGGGCTTTAGCTGGCACCACGTAGCTATAGAGACACGTTCGAATTTATCAACGACATCAAATACGTGAATCTAAGCGGTATGAGGATGCTCTCTCTAGACGTATCATCGCTGTTATCAAACGTCCCGGCTACCGAGACAGTAGATTAAATTTGCGAATACCTGGTGACAAATCAGATGGAAATAGGAACACCGACAAATGCACTGAAGGAACTACTACTTAAATGCACATTTAACGTGCAGTTCCTTTTTGACAGCCAGCTATAGAGACAAATAGATGGTGTTGCCATGGGCTCGCCTCTTGGACCTCTACCAGTTGACATATTCATGGGCAAGCTGGAGAAATTTCAACTAAGTGAGCAGATCCACAAGGTAAAACACTATGGCCGGTACGTTGATGATATCTTCGCGATCACCGCAACCGAAAATGACGTAGACGCACCCTTAAATGCGGTCAACCAAGCACACCCATCCATTAAGTTCACACTGGAGGTGAAAAAGACAGGTTTGCTCCCGTTCTTAGACGTCCTCCTAAGTCGCACACCTGACGGTAGCGTCCGAAAGAGCGTGTATCGAAAGAAAACCCGGCCTGGACAGTACACGAATTTTAACAGTTTCGTACCCCTCCAACAGAAGCGAAGTCTAGTTCGATGCTCTGTGCAAAGGGCTAGGAATATTTGCTGAGCAGACAGTACTGAGGAAGAGCTCAAGAAAATCGAGGACCTACGGCGTGAAAATGGGTATCCTGAGAGATTTATTACAAGGAATATAGCGGATAAACAAATAAGAACCACTGCACCTACTGTAGAAAAGAAAACACTGTTTCTCAAAGTTCCCTTTCGAGGGGACGCAGCAAGTGAACTACTGAAAAGACGCCTTGACCAAACCATTGCAAGAACCCTCCCGGCAGCCAGAGTTTAGGTATTATTCTCAACAAACCCAATCTTACATGGGGAAGGTAAGGATAGGTTACCAGATCAGACCACCTCAATGTGCATCTACGCTTTCATTTTTTCCTGTAGAGCAGGTTATATTGGTCGTACGAGCCGGAGCCTATCCAAAAGAACAAAAAAACACCTCCCGGCATGGCTGATTAAGGACTCGGATGCTGGTAGCCGAGCCAACTTCGCATTAGTCACGAGCCCACACCGTGATTGTAAGAACTGTTAAGCGTACTACGACCACTACGAACTTCACATAACGCGCACCTTCTTGTCCCAGCGATGGTGTCTTCGCTTTCAGACCTGCCGTGGCTCGCGACACTGAATTTATTTCTATGGAACTTTCGGATACTTGCTCCATCGTCACTGGACGTGAGCGGTTCTCGACCTATTTGCCATTTTTTCTCCAAACTATATTCATCGTTTTTGTCACCCCTCAAAAAAGACAAAGAAGAAGTGGCAAGAACATGGACCGAAGTGTATTTAGACTGAAGTTTCGGAGGCACTCTCGCTTCCATCATCGGCGTAACGTGGTGCTCCTTCCTGCCGGCCTCTGGTACAGCCAATCACATGCTCCCTCAACCTGCTATCGGCCAATCAACTGATCAAGCAGCCAGTGACTCACTCTTGCATGACGATTGTACATTCACGGCCACCTCACACTAGCTCACAGACGCGCACGGGCAGGCTCGACACTTGCCGGGTGCGTATGACCACCGCAGAGATTCTATACGCAATAAACAACGCCTACTGGTCTGAAGAAAAAGAAGAAGAAGAAGAAGAAGAAGAAGAAGAAGAAGCGATCACTG